TGAAAGACACAGAGCTGCAGCCTCTGATGCAGACGGACTTTACGGTGCTGCCAGATGCTCTCCAGACGTCTCTGGTGATGCAGGACCTCATGGACCACGTCCAGAATACAGTGCACAGCTTTAGAGTAGTTAGCAGTTGCAGTCAGAGACTCTGAGTTAACGGGACTTAACGGCCGCTGAAGAACGTCCAGCAAAGCCTTCCCATCCTGGCTCACCTGCAGAGAGAGAACGAAATGAGAACTATTAATCAGCAGGGATGCGTTAATCTGAGCAAAAGTGATAGTAAAGTCAATCATAATTGTTATAATTGCAGATTATTTCTATTGCAAATGCATGTTGTTATTTTGAACTTTCTAATCTTCGAAGAATCCTGAAAACATGGTTTCCACAAAATATTTTGAATTGTAAAAACATTTCACAATATTTAATGTATTTTTGTTCAAATAAATGCAGCTTTGGTGGGCATAAGAGACTTGTTTTAAAAGCATTTAAAAAATCTTACCGACCCTAACCTTTTGAATTGTAGTGTATTTGTCTTAAGCGGCTTACAAGATCTTTATAGTCATTTTGACCAAACAGAAATGGTACCAAATTATTATTATTATTATTTTAGATTTGTGTGTGTAAAATAATTTAATTTCACAACAAACTTCATTTTTATAGGTCAGAGACGCTCAGCACTAGAATCAATGTTTGTTGTTTTCTATCCACAGCCAAATATGGATAAATGCTGTCTCCTGTTGTCTGTATGTGTGTGTGTGTGTGTGTGTGTGTGTGTGTGTGTGTGTGTGTGTGTGTTTTTCAGTGTGTGTGTGTGTGTGTGTGTGTGTGTGTGTGTGTGTGTGTGTGTGTGTGTGTGTTTTTCACATATTCAAAGACTGCTTTCTAATACAACGGCATTTTAGTGCCACGGTAAAAAAAAAAACTAAACAAAAATTCTAAGGTTATGAGATTAAAGTCATAATATTTTGAGAAAAAAGTCCAAATTACGAGAATAAAGTCATAGCAATACGATACTTTATTCTCGTAATTTCGACTTTATTCTCGAAATATTTCAACTTTATTCTGGTAAATTTGACTTTATTCTCTAAATATTTTTTTATTTTATTCTTTTAATTTTGACTTTATTTTTTAAATATTACATTTAAATATAAATAATTTTAAATATTATTTAAAATATATAATCTTGCAATGTTAGATCTTTTTAATGTGGCACTAAAACGCTGTCATTTTCTAAATAAATATAAACAATTAAAATTAAATTAAATTTCAACAGTTCATTTCAATCATCTTTTCGTTACTGAAGGTGTTAGTGCTTAATGAGATAAACATAACTACCAAAGTGATAAACATAACTACCCAAGTACTACTTGTGTTTGTGATCTTAACAACAAAAATTATTTATAAGCATGCAACTCACTCAGCATTGCTCATTGCCATTTGTTGGAAACTGAGATACCAGCAGAAACCCAGTGCATATTTGATTGAGTGAAACTAACCTTAATGTTGTATTGTGTACTTGTTGTATTGTGTACTGAGCTCAATATGACAACGTGACAGTGAATGATGCTATGTTTTAAATGAGATCTACAACAGAACACATTCTCTAATGTCAGATCAATAAACAGAGTCATGGGTAAACGATTGAGGACTTGGAAACACAAGGATGAACATTCAATCATGCACAGGACAGTCTGTTTGAGGGGTGGAGGTCTGTGAACTCACGTAGTACAACAACATCATGGCATTGTTTTCCTGTTGTGTCTTCAGATTAATTAGGGCTGGTTCACTAATTTATTTTAGTTCCAACAACATTAGTACAGCTGTAGGCTGATTATGTAACATAAGCACAGAGACTTTCCATCATGACTGAACAGTTTTAGACACGACCGACACCTGAGTGATTGTGATGTATGTTGATGAAAATACTTAAAATATAACTAAATACTTAAAATAAAACATAAAAATAAATAAAATCTAAAAAAGTATAGCATAGCCAATGATACAATACATTAAAGTTACATATGAAGCAGCTACCGATGTGATGCGATTCCCTATTACGATGCAGTGCGATCCGATTTCGATTCGATTCAACACAATGCGATTTAATGCAATATGATGCAATTGAAAGAAAATGATGCTATGCAATTCAAAATGGTACAGATACTGTAGTTCGCTTTTATTTCTTTGGTTTAGACAGACAGCCATGTTAATCTATATTCTATGTGACTCTCAGTTTAGAGAGGAGAAATCAATCTACTTATAAAATATTGGACACCAAAATTATTGTGTATTTATATTGCATCTACTAATAATTATGTATACATAAATAATTTTTACCGATGCAAATATGTTAGAAATGATGCATTGCGATACAAATGTCAACTTGTATTCAATGCACATTTTAAATTGATGCATCGCATCGTTAATGCTGATGCGCCAACGCAAATAGGTGAATCTTACCTTCCCTAATATATATATATATATATATTAACAAAAATTATATTATATCAATGATATGAAACGCCAATTTGAAAGGACAGTTAAAAGGATAGTTCACCCAAAAATTAATATTCTGTCATTAATTACTCACCCTCGTGTCGTTTCAAACCTGTAAGACCTTCGTTCATCTTCAGAACACAATATTTTTGATGAATTCCGAGAGCTCTCTGACCCTCCCCATAGACAGCAAGCATACTACCACAATCAAGGTCCAGAAACATAGCAAGGACATCAGTAAAATAATCGATGTGACATCAGGGGTTCAACCATAATTTGTACGAAGCTACGAGAATAGCTTTCGTGTGCAAAGAAAACAAAAATAACATAATTTATTCAGCAATTCTTCTCCTCCCTGGCACCATTTTGGAGAGTATCCACTGAACATAAACTGTGTATGCTGTTCTGTGTCAGTTGCGCCATGCGGATACGTTGTCTACGTTGTTTACGCTTTGATCTGAACGAAAACAATGCATCCACGTACATACGTTGTTTACGTATGTGATACTCTCCAAAATGGTGCTACAGGGTGACGCAGAGGAGACAAATTGTTGAATAAAGTCTTTTTTTTTTTTCTTTGTGCAAAAAAAGCATTCTCGCAAATGCTTCGTAAAATTATGGTTGAACCACTAATGTCACATGGATTATTTTACTGATGTCTTTGCTATGTTTCTGGACCTTGATTGTGGTAGTATGCTTGCCTTCTATGGGAGGGTCAGAGAGCTGACGGGATGCATCAAAAAGATATTGTGTTCCGAAGATGAATAGAGGTCTTACAGGTTTGAAACGACACGAGGGTGAGTAATTTTCATTTTTGAGTGAAATATCACTTTAACTGTCCTTTCAAATTGGTGTTGTTTTAAAGGGGTAATATGATGCGATTTCAATTTTTCCTTTCTCTTTGGAGTGTTACAAGCTCTTGGTG